CGGTACAAAATACCACGGAAAATATGTCATAAAAAGAGATTGGGTACAAATTATACGTTCTGGTGAAGGACATGATCTGTTGGAAAATGGATACCATCTTCATGGTTTACATCCGGGAAGTCACTGTATTATTTCTCTACAAAGAACACTTGAATACTATACTGTAGGGACGAAACAGCTGTATGATGTAGCATCACCGACGAGTCCTGGAAGGACGAAACAGCTGTATGATATTGCATCACTGACGAGTCCTAGAAGGACGAAACAGCTGTATGATATGGAATCACTGACGAGTCCTAGAAGGACGAAACAGCTGTATGATAAAGTATAACTGACGAGTCCTAGAAGGACGAAACAGCTGTATGATGTAACATCACTGATGATTCCTAGAAGAACGATACAGCTGTATGATGTAACATCACTGACAAGGCCTAGAAGGACTAAACAGCTGTATGATGTAACAGCATTGACGAGGCCTAGAAGGACGAAACAGCTGTATGATATAGTATAACTGACGAGTCCTGGAAGGACGAAACAGCTGTATGATATAGCATCACTGACGAGTCCTAGAAGGACGAAACAGCTGTATGATATAGTATAACTGACGAGTCCTAGAAGGACGAAACAGCTGTATGATATAGTATAACTGACGAGTCCTAGAAGGACGAAACAGCTGTATGATATAGCATTACTGACGAGTCCTAGAAGGACGAAACAGCTGTATGATATAGTATAACTGACGAGTCCTAGAAGGACGAAACAGCTGTATGATATAATATAACTGACGAGTCCTAGAAGGACGAAACAGCTGTATGATATAGCATTACTGAGGAGTCCTAGAAGGACGAAACAGCTGTATGATATAGCATCACTGACGAGTCCTAGAAGGACTAAACAGCTGTATGATGTAACAGCATTTACGAGGCATAGAAGGACGAAACAGCTGTATGATATAGTATAATTGGCGAGTCCTAGAAGGACGAAACAGCTGTATGATGTAACATCACTGATGAGTCCTAGAAATACGACACAGCTGTATCTGTTGGTACTGGTAGGAGGATGCTATATAGACGTGTATCCTTTGTAAACTGCCTTATACAAAACAAAGGACGAAACAACTGTACGATGCAGATTCTCATTCTCAAATTGTGTTTTGTAGTGAAAAGTGCTCTTTATTTTTGTATCTTTTGTACAATATTCGGCGTGTATAGTAGTACTGTATATGTGGTATAAATGGGCTGTAAGTGACAGTATTATTAACGTAAAATCCATGTATATGTGATCCTGATTCCATGTTCCATCCTGATGTAAATTGTCTTTAAATTACTTTACATATGTACATGACTTTATACAGTTCACCATTCGATCGATAAGAATGATCGATGTTCCATTTTACGGACGTCTATGCTGAACCCAGGTCAATATTTAGTACGTTAAGAGAGAGTCGGCCTAATTACTGGCCTCCTCACCGGCTATAATATAGTCGGTAACACGTGCAGACTTACCTGTATCTCGGATTCCCTTACTTTTTCTATGTCAGTTGAGAATATGTGACAAATAGATTGCCAATACGCAATACTTGTACAATATCTTTGATGATCATTAAGATATACAATATCTGGTCATTCGAATAAATCCTCACCAATTTCGACCATCTTTAGGATAATTATATATATAAATGTTTCTGATATGTATCTAAGACTATGTCTAGATATTGTATATATAATGGAATACATTTTATTACTTACTGGTCATATGAAGATAAAAAAAACACCTGTATAATAACCTCTACTCCAGTATGTTGTGATAGTTGTAACCTCTACTCCAGTATGTTGTGATAGTTGTATAATAACCTCTACTCCAGTATGTTGTGATAGTTGTAACCTCTACTCCAGTATGTTGTGATAGTTGTATAGTAACCTCTACTCCAGTATGTTGTGATAGTTGTATAATAACCTCTACTCCAGTATGTTGTGATAGTTGTATAATAACCTCTACTCCAGTATGTTGTGATAGTTGTAACCTCTACTCCAGTATGTTGTGATAGTTGTATAACCTCTACTCCAGTATGTTGTGATAGTTGTAACCTCTACTCCAGTATGTTGTGATATTTGTATAATAACCTCTACTCCAGTATGTTGTGATAGTTGTATAACCTCTACTCCAGTATGTTGTGATAGTTGTATAATAACCTCTACTCCAGTATGTTGTGATAGTTGTATAACCTCTACTCCAGTATGTTGTGATAGTTGTATAATAACCTCTACTCCAGTATGTTGTGATAGTTGTATAGTTGTATAATAACCTCTACTCCAGTATGTTGTGATAGTTGTATGATATAACCTCTACTCCAGTATGTTGTGATAGTTGTATATAACCTCTACTCCAGTATGTTGTTGTGATATGTTGTGATAGTTGTATAACCTCTACTCCAGTATGTTGTGATAGTTGTATAATAACCTCTACTCCAGTATGTTGTGATAGTTGTATAATAACCTCTACTCCAGTATGTTGTGATAGTTGTAACCTCTACTCCAGTATGTTGTGATAGTTGTATAACCTCTACTCCAGTATGTTGTGATAGTTGTATAATAACCTCTACTCCAGTATGTTGTGATAGTTGAGTATGTTGTGATAGTTGTATAACCTCTACTCCAGTATGTTGTGATAGTTGTAACCTCTACTCCAGTATGTTGTGATATTTGTATAATAACCTCTACTCCAGTATGTTGTGATAGTTGTATAATAACCTCTACTCCAGTATGTTGTGATAGTTGTAACCTCTACTCCAGTATGTTGTGATAGTTGTATAACCTCTACTCCAGTATGTTGTGATAGTTGTATAATAACTCTACTCCAGTATGTTGTGATAGTTGTATAACCTCTACTCCAGTATGTTGTGATAGTTGTATAATAACCTCTACTCCAGTATGTTGTGATGTTTAACCTCTACTCCAGTATGTGATAGTGAGTATGTTGTGATAGTTGTAACCTCTACTCCAGTATGTTGTGATAGTTGTATAACCTCTACTCCAGTATGTTGTGATAGTTGTAACCTCTACTCCAGTATGTTGTGATAGTTGTAACCTCTACTCCAGTATGTTGTGATAGTTGTATAATAACCTCTACTCCAGTATGTTGTGATAGTTGTAACCTCTACTCCAGTATGTTGTGATAGTTGTATAACCTCTACTCCAGTATGTTGTGATAGTTGTAACCTCTACTCCAGTATGTTGTGATAGTTGTATAACCTCTACTCCAGTATGTTGTGATAGTTGTATAACCTCTACTCCAGTATGTTGTGATAGTTGTATAATAACCTCTACTCCAGTATGTTGTGATAGTTGTATAATAACCTCTACTCCAGTATGTTGTGATAGTTGTATAATAACCTCTACTCCAGTATGTTGTGATAGTTGTATAACCTCTACTCCAGTATGTTGTGATAGTTGTAACCTCTACTCCAGTATGTTGTGATAGTTGTAACCTCTACTCCCGTATGTTGTGATAGTTGTAACCTCTACTCCAGTATGTTGTGATAGTTGTATAACCTCTACTCCAGTATGTTGTGATAGTTGTATAATAACCTCTACTCCAGTATGTTGTGATAGTTGTAACCTCTACTCCAGTATGTTGTGATAGTTGTATAATAACCTCTACTCCAGTATGTTGTGATAGTTGTAACCTCTACTCCAGTATGTTGTGATAGTTGTAACCTCTACTCCAGTATGTTGTGATAGTTGTATAATAACCCCTACTTCAGTATGTTGTGATATTTGTGAAGTATGTGCTTAACTCTACAGTATCACAATCAAACAGTGTATTACAATGTGCTTTTCATTTTCCTGTGGATTTGTAAATATTGATTTTTAATCATACAGGAGAGAATTTCTAAGCTTACCAATATGTGATGTTTTTTGTTTGTATTTTGATATACTTTGGTATATAACGGAATAATTGATATGTAGAAAGTATGACCTGTAATGTTCCGTGTATAATGTACTGTAAATAGGGGTACATTTCCCCACGTTCTGGTCACTGACAAAGACGTATATCTGTGTATAATGTACTGTAAATAGGGGTACATTTCCCCATGTTCTGGTCACTGACAAAGACGTATATCCGTGTATAATGTACTGTAAATAGGGGTACATTTCCCCACGTTCTGGTCACTGACAAAGACGTATATCTGTGTATAATGTACTGTAAATAGGGGTACATTTCCCCACGTTCTGGTCACTGACAAAGACGTATATCTGTGTATAATGTACTGTAAATAGGGGTACATTTCCCCACGTTCTGGTCACTGACAAAGACGTATATCTGTGTATAATGTACTGTAAATAGGGGTACATTTCCCCACGTTCTGGTCACTGACAAAGACGTATATCTGTGTACACATATCTTACAGCAGTGGTCTCTCTTCGGTCCATGACTCATTACTCACAGATTACTTTTATTTCATAAGAAATTCTCTATTTTCTGTATTTCGAACAGCTCTTCCTATACACCAGAGATAACTGTTTATGTATCTTTCTGTTTAAATATGTCCTCCTAAGCGATCTTGAAATGACTGTCTGCCATATAGAGCTCGCTTTAATTATTGACGTTTTCTCTTTGATCTGGGATACTTGAATAAAAATGGTCTCTAAATAAAGTAATACCAGTTTTTAAAACATCCTAGTATCAAATTTACAAGGATAATTACAAAAATTTCCATGTAAGTATATTAACCTAATTTCTGGTAAACACTCAATTCTTAAACAACATCAACAAGAGGTCATAATGTAGGACGACCTTAGGTGACGCGATCACTTTCACTGACGCGTCAATAAATTCCACTTCATGCCAGTATATAAAGGTCAAGCAGTGACACCGTCCTGATTTACAGTGAGTGAACAGACCATTCATGAACACGGACGAGTGTTAAGAATTTAGATTTTGCCTATTAATTGGACAGTGTAAATATACTTGCTTTCAGGTTTCTATGTGAATAAGAAATGGATTTTATATCACTTCTCAGCTTATATCCTGCAACGGGTGCCATTGTTGTGATACTGTTGATCCTGTTGGTCAGTAGGTCACTTCAAAGGCCGGCGAATATCCCACCTGGTCCATCTGGTTACCCTATCATAGGGTGTATGCCTCTCCTAAGAAATGCGAACCCATTGGATGTGTTTCGAAAACTCCGAGCCCAATATGGCGACGTATTTAGCTTGAAGATTGGACCAAACCTCAACGTGATTATAAATGGATCTGATGCATTAAAAGAAGCTTTTGTCAAACGTGCAGATGAATTCTCTGACCGACCAGGCAGCTTTATCTCAGAACGACTGTTTCAAAACAAGGGTAAGTGACAAGCCTTAAAGTTGACCCATGAACAAATTATCTCACTCATAATTGATGTTACGTGATTGCTAGATATTTGGAATATGAGATTTGATGTGATGTAGTTTTTGAATATTAAAAGTTTACCTCAACCTGCGATATATTTATTTATCAGATATGAGTACTCATAACCTCTACTACTATAACCTTACAGTTAGTTTTTCAATTCTTCTGGAATTCACATGGAGACACTAATTTCACAGCCAAAGACTCCGCGTTGTCACAAGTAGATTCTCTGATAACAGTAACACTAATTGATGAACCCGAAACTTAAAAAGAATATTTTATTCAATCACCATGGCGGAAAGCATAACAATATTATCAACAAGCTGAAGAATATGTATAATTATTGTCAGTAAAACATATACATAACTGACCAGATGTATAAAATAGGCTTACTTTAGACGTACCTTGCGTTAGATATTCACTAAGGTTTCTTTCTTTTTACATTTTTGCGTGAGAATAATTGAGTTAATTTAAATACAGATCGACTACGGAAATACTAAGGTTTGAAATAGTTTGCTTTGCGCTCTGTGTAGACCGGGGCACAAAAAAATTAAATGGGTTTCATCCTCGATGCCATTGATGTTGTATACGGGACACTGCCGTTGAGCCCTTGGAATGTCATTATACGTACCTGTTTCTATACTTAATACACGGGATAACAGTAGCTCTCTAAATTCGTCCTAGAGGAATTGTTTATTTTATTCACTTGATGGAACGCCAGACTAAGGAGCAAAGGGTAGCGGTTTTCATAACTAGAGTTACAAACTTCTGTGTTGTTCGGTGTCATTTTAATTGTGAACAGATCGATAACTCAGTGTATGTCTGTACTTTTATTAGTTACAGGTAACATATCTTTGTTTCAAGAGCTTCCAATCAAATTGTTTAACACCAAATTTATTCTGGTTACTACAAAGGTATATCTATAGTATGATTATCGGTTACAGAGTTAAATCTACAATATCTTGTCTATCCAACTTCAAACCAGGTTTTTTTTTTTTACCTTTTTTACTATCATAAGAACATTGCAGTCAATACAAAGGAAATAATGATAATAAAACAATGTGAAGTGACAATTACAGAATAAACTTGGTATTTACATGTGAATAATATTATGAAACAAATACGTACAATATTAATGTACGTTTCTGTTTACTGCAAATGTTTTTATAGTGATCTACTTTCACTCAAATATAAAAGGAGGACGACATACAACAATGAAGACAAATACATCCCCTATTTCAATTCGGTAAAAATATTGAAAAAAGTGTGAAATGCTAAATGACTCATGTCCACAATTCAATATTTTAGGTATTGGGGCATCTTCCGGTGAATATTGGAAACAAACCAGGACATATTCAATATCGATATTACGCAATTTAGGATTTGGGAAAAGATCGCTCGAATCAAGAGTCCAAGAAGAGGTGACTGCTTACTTGGACATTATCGAGAAACAAGATGGCCGACCTTACGATGTGAAGGAGGTGACCGTACTGGCCATATCAAACATCATTTGTAGCATTACGTTTGGAAACAGATTTGAATTCAGTGATACTAAATTCAAGCGATTAACATCTCTTTTCGCTGAGAACTTCCGGTTAAATACAGTGGGAGGGGCCATAAGATCGTTTCCTGGATTGCGACACCTTCCTGGAGATATGTTCAGCATAAACAAAATGATAAAAAATGTAGAAGATATCAAAGCTTTTGTCGGTGAACAAATACTTGAACATAGAAACACATTTGAAGAGGAGAATGAACGCGATTTCATAGACGCGTTTCTGTCAGAGCAAAAGAAACATGACAAAGAAGACCCTATATTTGACGGTAAGGCATGTCAATTGGGAAGGGAGCATGTTCTTAAAGTAAAATGTTTTAATGGTAAATTGTGTAAGGCTATGTATAAGTGAAAATGACAGCGACTACACCCCTCCTTCCCTCCCTCCTCTACCCTCACTCCCCAAAATCTGTCTGTTTCGTTTTCCTATGGCTAAATTGGTGTAGGAAATTTGATGTTAAAAGATAACGATAATAATCGGTACACATCTACCACACTGAAATATGTATGTAACCACCGATAAATAACAAAAATGTTTACAATGATCCTGAGAAAACTACACCATGTTGGTTGTCGTAAAGTAAGAAACGTTACTAGGTAATTACAAGGATACTAAAAATGTATCTGGAAAATATCTTTATGACATATAGCAATATCATAATTTCATGTGCTTATTGTTAAAATCAAATCAAACAGATTGTTTAAAACCATTTCCACCAAGACATCAAACCTGATGAAATATTCTCCTTTCGATTGTTTGGCAATCATAGTTCATGATTATAATAATGATTGACTTGATGGATGTAGTCCACGTTTTCGGTAAGGCAATGAGTTGTATCCCAAAAAAGATACTCTTATTTAATCACGTGTTTTTGACAGATTTGTAAACCCCTACTTTTTACATTATAAATCATTGAATCAGTGGTACATGTCTGATCAACAGTATTAACAACATTCCAATTTTCTGAGTTTTGGCCTATTTATTTGGTGTTATCATCAGCATTCTAACGAGACAGCGAGATAAACTCTCGAGAGATTTACATCAGCTTTATAGAAAGCTTCATACTTCTCATTAGTATTGTTTTTTTATCTATTCAGATATGAATTTAACAGCGATCGTCATCAACCTATTTATTGCTGGGACCGATACAACTGCTACAATGATTCGATGGGCCATTATTTACCTTATTTATAACAAAGACATCCAGGACAAACTTCGACAGGAGATAGAGACAGTTGTCGGGACGTCTAGACTACCGTCACTTGCCGACAAATCTAGTATGCCTTACTATGAAGCGTTTATAACAGAGGTGTTCCGGATGGGCAACATTGTTCCTCTTTCTGTGCCTCACGGAGCCAAGAAGGACATCACATTTCGCGGTATGGTTATCCCCAAAGGGTCAGTTATAATACCAAACCTTGACTCCGTTATGAAAGACCCGGACTTATTTGAAAATCCTGACAAATTTCAACCCGAAAGGTTTCTAGGAGATGACGGGCGACTTAATGGCAAGGAAAGGACAGTCATGGCCTTTTCGCTAGGTAATCATATGTTCTGCTCTTTTACATATAAATATTTGCTTGTTGTGTATTTCTTAATTTCTTTTAAAAATTATGTTAACTTTAAAAATCTTTCAACAATGCACATGTAAGATTTATCTGAAAGTTGTCATGGATACTTTAGTGTAGTAAAGTAAAGAGGTACTGACTTTCTGCTTTACAGGGCGGCGTATTTGTGTTGGGGAATCTTTGGCCAGGATCGAACTATTTCTCTACATCACATCATTGTTGCAAAGGTTCGAGATTTTGCCGGAGAGGCAAGACAAGTTCCCATCATTCGAAGCTACATTGGGACTAGCACGAGCCTCTAAGGACTACAAATGTCGCTTTATGAAGCTTTACTAAGTGGAAACATTTCTTCACTCAGTAATGTTATTGTGTTTTTGTTGTTTTCTAATTTGTCGCTTTGAATCGTGAATCGTGAATACTTTACTTGAGTTTGTAAACTGATGCGATTCTGTTTGAAATTTCTCAACGTTTTTTTCGCTGAGCGATATTTATGTATGCAGCAGGAGAATGTGGAAACGACCTCTCAGCCCCATTTTGATTCGTTTAACGTTACATATGTGCATGGACTCCTGCTGTTAAACACTATCTTCTTAACATTATTGACTTTTTCATATACTCGCTGTTTCAAACATGGATGAATAATGTGATCCTATAAATTTCATGATATGAAATCTAATAAACTTAATGGTTATTAATTTTTAATGATAATATTACCTTTGTTACACTCCAGGGGATAACAGTGATGTGTGTGGTACGTGTGAAACTATATATCCTTATAGGCCAGTACAAGTACATGTCATTTTTTAATTTTTAATGTTTGTATTTGTTACGTTACGGGATTAACTTACAGCAAATAAAACCCAACAGTTAGGTTAAAATTCAACAATTTAATAACAAATAAATTGTATATAGTATTATTACAAATATTGCGATGGTGTTCAGAGCTAGCTACTAATTAATAAAAAGTCAGAAATTATCTTTCGGTGGAAATCCTTCAAATCCAGAGGAATTCACAGTAGATTGTCCAGAAAACTGGGTAACCGAAGAATGATCCAATAATGGTTTCCTGGCTGGGTATATATAAGTGCAAGTCCACGATGCACTGTCACTAAATCACTGTTCAAGTCCACAATTCACAGACTGAAGTCTCAAAGTAAGCTCACTCAAGGCGTTAATACTTCAAAATGCTGCTCAGGCTCAGTTCCATCAGGTTTATATATACTAAAGGATTGTAAAAAGTTCTTTTCTAGATGATTGTAGGCTAGCACTATCTACACATATTGTGACAAATAATCATAAACAGGTTCTTTTATGTAAACAATCAATATGATACAATGCATGTGAACACAGCACGTCTGAATTTGGATTAATACACAACATTTATACATAACAGCATCTTTTACTAAAACGCAGCAATTTGATTGGTAGATAAGTTAATTCTATTGTTCCGCTAAATTTTAGTGGTAGATGGTTGAAGTCTCGGAGGAAATTACTCTATTGTCGCATTACATCCCGGTACCTACAGGATGGGCTGGGTCTTGACTTGAACAAATTTATTGTTCCGCTATATTCTAATGAGACAGGTCTCGAAGGATATTAACAGATTGACGCATTGTAGCTACCCTACCGATGGCAGTTACCTCACCCATGGTAATTACATAACATATGGTAGTTACCTCACCCATGGCAGTTACCTTACCAATGGTAGTTACCTGATCTGTGGTAGTTACCTGATCTGTGGTAGTTACCTTATCCATGGTCGTTACCTCACCCATGGCAGTTACCTTACCCATGATAATTACCTTACCCATGGTAGTTACCTGACCTGTGGTAGTTACCTTACCCATGATAGTTACCTTACCAACAGTTGTTACCTTACCAATGGTTGTTACCTTACCAATGGTAGTTACCATACCCACAATTTATTTTAAGGTAGTTACCTCCCTTGAAACACTTTATCAACCGATGTTATTCGTAACATACCTGAGCTACAAACAAATCACCATCAACTTTAATCACAAATCAGTAAGATGATATCAAATATGTTTAAAACGTATTAAGTCGACTAGAAAGAACATATCAATAATATTAAAATCTTAAGAGATCACATAAAAGTATCTTTCTAATTTCTTTAATTGTTAGGTGATTTTTTTTTTGTCACCAAAAGTCACTGAAACATAAACACGTACCTTGATTAATATCTCGCTTTTTATTGATATTGCTAAGAAAATTGGTTCAGTAAACTGTAAGGGAGTCCTTGTAAGTACTCACATCAATTTGGGTATGCAAAAAAAGATATGAAATTTCTAACAAGTGAAATGATATTAGCAAAAATAGTTGTATAAGATATGTATCAATGAGTATAACAAATAATTTTCATAATGATATTTTATTCAATAAGTTTGTAGCCGTGTGTAAAATCCAACATTCGGAATATAGGAATGGGTTAATGAAAGGGATAAAAGGAGCAGAGGAACCAAAGAGTGGGATGATAGAAGGGATAAAAGGACCTTAGGAACTAAATAGTATTACTACAATCCAGAGATAAAACAAAAGCTAGCATACAATGCAGAGATAAAACAAAAGCTAGCTGTTAATGGTGAAATTTGTTGCTCAAGTGTAGAACATAATTTGTGTTAAATCTTAATGTGACCGGCTGGCTTATCAGACAGATAGTTTAATTGCGGTCACCTTGGTGTCAGAATCATGCCGTGAAATATTGGCTGGACATGCTCTCCACCAGTGAGACATTAACTGGTCACGGTTTAATTGTAGATCAGTAGAAGACACTTTCCCTATCAGAATTAGATTATAATTAACTTTAGGACAAACTGTAAGATCACAGCAAATAGAGTCAGTCCTGGTGTGGCCGTGGAAGGAGTAACTTGTTAAGCTCGATACTCAGGCCATACATGTTATCATTGTTGTAACTTGTGTTAATACTCAACATTTGTACTTGAGAACGGTTGTTGCTGGTCTTTTGTATAACATAAGGATAGTACAACATAGAGGGGTAACACTAGCCTACAACCCATATATAGAACAGAAGCTAGCCGACAAACCCAGAGATAAAACAACAGCTAGCCTATAACCCAAAGATAAAACAACAGCTAGCCTACAACCCATATATAAAACAGACGCTGGCCTACAAGCCAGAGATAAAACAACAGCTAGCCTACAACCCAAAGATAAAACAAAACTAGGCTGCAACCAACAGATAAAACGAAGGCTAGCCTACAACCCAGAGATAAAACAAAAGCCAGCCTACAACCCAGAGATAAAACAACAGCTAGCCTACAACCCAGAGATAAAACAAAAGCTAGGCTACAACTCAGAGTTAAAACAAAAACTAGGTCACCAACGTTATCCAACAAATAAAACTAAAGTCGAGAAATAAACAATTTAACTGAGAAACTGAAACAAGATACACTGACAAATGTATTTGCTGAGGTAGAATTTATCCATTGTGAAGATTCCTGTAAGGGTCTTCCTGTAGTTTATTCATTAGCTCGTACACATAGTTCGTCTGTATTACACTTGATGTTGGTTTATTTTTTTTCATTCATTTTCATTTGCAAAGATTCCTGTAAGGTTCATCCCTTAGTTTGGCACAGTTTATTCATTAACTGGTACATTTAGTTTGTCTATAATACCCTTGATGTTAGATCTATAAAAGGTGCTGTGTCAGGAATCACGAATTCTACCAGTGTTTTTCCTCTTTCTAATTTCATCTCGGAAATGAAACAGTTTGAAGTGCACGTCTATACGATATCATGTCGATATATATCTGGCATGTATCATACATGTATTTGAAACCTACTGGAATATGTTTCGTAGATATTATTAAATCTTTATGACACAACTATTAATATTTCGAGAATACACACTCCTTTAAGTTATTTAAAAAAAAAAAAAAAAAAACTGTGAGTTTAATATACAGTGTATGTGTAGGTAAGTCAAGATTTAGGACGTTCTGGATACTGACCTCTGTGGCAGCTAGGGCATATTGACGTTTCTGTTACGCTGTTAGTGTATATATATATACACATGTATATGATTCATGACGTTTCGTACATGCGACAGACTTTATCATCAAAATATCTTACTTTTAATATATGTTTGATACACAAAAGAACACTTCTATGTAACAACTAAATGTGAAAAGTATAAGTCGGTAGAACATATTCATATCCTTTGCGTTGATCTGTAAGGAAAATGATACAGTCGTTTGAAAAAACCCCAATAAAACTCATATGCACCAAAGAAAGGTGGTACACATCTATATTTGATATTTTTCTGCAGCGCTTCATATGCTGATATGAATTCTTTCTTTCGATTTTCCATACCTTACAGATAATCTGACTATATATACACCAAATGTGGATATCTACAGAATTGTTCCTCAAGAGGTCTTCGTTGTTACAAAGTTCCTTTTGAATATCATTCTCTGTATGACTGGGAGTAATTGACGTTTAAATATCACCCATTTAAAATGTATTTCTTTAATACACATACACGATACAAGAATTATATGACTGATCTCTGTACATGAAAAAAACGAAACGAAAATATAATCACTTACTTGTTTATTGTAAGCTGATAAAAACAACCTCCGCAGGTCAAGAAAGAGAACACAAACATTATAATTAATGCGATGATGTCAGTCAGAACAGAAACGTCAGTAGATTGTCGTTCATGCCTGTATATAAAGGTTAGAGGTAACACAGTCGTTACTTATAAGGCGCTCAAATCATAGCGTATTACGGTCACATATTCAGAAATTGTGATTAACAGGGTGGTACAGACTTGGTACGTTTTTTTTTCTTACATACGACATGGATTTCACTTTGCTTTTCAGCTTTAACGAGTTGACAGTGGCCATTGCTGTGATACTGTTGATCCTGTTGGTCAGTAGGTCACTTCAAAGGCCGGCGAATATCCCACCTGGTCCATCTGGTTACCCTATCATAGGGTGTATGCCTCTCCTAAGAAATGCGAACCCATTGGATGTGTTTCGAAAACTTCGAGCCCAATATGGCGACGTATTTAGCTTGAAGATTGGACAAAAACTCACCGTGGTAATAAATGGATCTGATGCATTAAAAGAAGCTTTTGTCAAACGTGCAGATGAATTCTCTGACCGACCAGGCAGCTTTATCTCAGAACGACTTTTTCAAAACAAGGGTAAGCGACAAGCCTTAAAGTTAACCCAATAACCCGTAATTTGTGTGGCGTAGTTTGTAAATAACTGGATTATGAAAGTTTTCCTCAACAAGCGAAATAATTCGTATTTTCTATTGTTATATTTCATTATCTTTTAATTTTTCAATCTTCAGGAAGATTGTACAAATGGCACACAAGTGAATTTCATCAAATCTAGATAAGGTTTCCCAAATACAAATAACAGGATACAATGTGTATAAAGGTAAATATCTTATTCAATTACCATGACGGAGAGCATAACAATATTATCAACAAGCTGGAGAAAATGTATAATAATTGTCAGTAAAACATATACATAACTGACCAGATGTATAAAATAGGCTTACTTTAGACGTACCTTTCGTTAGATATTCACTAAGGTTTCTTTCTTTTTACATTTTTGCGTGAGAATAATTGAGTTAATTTAAATACAGATCGACGACGGAAATACTAAGGTTTGAAATAGTTTGCTGGGCGCTCTGAGTAGACGGGGCACAACAAAATTAAATGGGTTTTATCCTCGATGCCATTGATGTTGTATACGGGACACTGCCGTTGCGCCCTTGGAATGCTATTATACCTACCCGTTTCTATGCTTAATACAAGGGATAACAGTAGCTCTCTAAATTCTTCCTAGAGGAATTGTTTATTTCATTCACTTGATGGAACGACGGACTAAGGAGTAAAGGATAGCGGTTTTCATAACTAGAGTTACAAACTTCCTCATTGTTCGGTGTCATTTTAACAGTGAACAGATCGATAACTCCGTGTATGTCTGTACTTTTATTAGTTACAGGTAACATATCTTTGTTTCAAGAGCTTCCAATCAAATTGTTTAACACCAAATTTATTCTGGTTACTACAAAGGTATATCTATAGTATGATCATCGGTTACAGAGTTAAATCTACAATCACTTGTCTATCTAACTTCAAACCAGGTTTTTTTTTTTACCTTTTTTACTATCATAAGAGCATTGCCGTCAATACAAAGGAAATAATGATAATAAAACAATGTGAAGTGACAATTACAGAATAAACTTGGTATTTACATGTGAATAATATTATGAAACAAACACGTACAATATTAATGTACGTTGCTGTGTACTGGAAATGTTTTAAGTGATCTACTTTCACTCAAATACAGAAGAAGGACGACATACAATCATGAAGAAAAATACATCCCCAATTTCAATTCGGTAAAAATATTTTTAAAAATGTGAAATTTTAAATGACTCATGTCCACAATTCTATATTTCAGGTATTGGGGCATCTTCCGGTGAATATTGGAAACAAACCAGGACATATTCAATATCGATATTACGCAATTTAGGATTTGGGAAAAGATCGCTCGAATCAAGAGTCCAAGAGGAGGTGACTGCTTACTTGGACATTATCGAGAAACAAGATGGCCGACCTTACGATGTGAAGGAGGTGACCGTACTGGCCATATCAAACATCATTTGTAGCATTACGTTTGGAAACAGATTTGAATTCAGTGATACTAAATTCAAGCGATTAACATCTCTTTTCGCTGAGAACTTCCGGTTAAATACAGTGGGAGGGGCCATAAGATCGTTTCCTGGATTGCGACACCTTCCTGGAGATATGTTCAGCATAAAAAAAATGATAAAAAATGTAGAAGATATCAAAGCTTTTGTCGGTGAACAAATACTTGAACATAGAAACACATTTGAAGAGGAGAATGAACGCGATTTCATAGACGCGTTTCTGTCAGAGCAAAAGAAACATGACAAAGAAGACCCTATATTTGACGGTAAGGCATGTCAATTGGGAAGGGAGCATGTTCTTAAAGTAAAATGTTTTAATGGTAAATTGTGTAAGGCTATGTATAAGTGAAAATGACAGCGACTACACCCCTCCTTCCCTCCCTCCTCTACCCTCACTCCCCAAAATCTGTCTGTTTCGTTTTCCTATGGCTAAATTGGTGTAGGAAATTTGATGTTAAAAGATAACGATAATAATCGGTACACATCTACCACACTGAAATATGTATGTAACCACCGATAAATAACAAAAATGTTTACAATGATCCTGAGAAAACTACACCATGTTGGTTGTCGTAAAGTAAGAAACGTTACTAGGTAATTACAAGGATACTAAAAATGTATCTGGAAAATATCTTTATGACATATAGCAATATCATAATTTCATGTGCTTATTGTTAAAATCAAGTCAAACAGATTGTTTAAAAACATTTCCACCAAGACATCAAACCTGATGAAATATTCTCCTTTCGATTGTTTGGCAATCATAGTTCATGATTTTAATAATGATTGACTTGATGGATGTAGTCCACGTTTTCGGTAAGGCCATGAGTTGTATCCCAAAAAAGATACTCTTATTTAATCACGTGCTTTTTGACAGATTTGTAAACCCCTACTTTTTACATTATAAATCATTGAATCAGTGGTACATGTCTGATCAACAGTATTAATATTTTTCCAATTTTCTGAGTTTTGGCCTATTTATTTGGTATTATCATCAGCATTCTAACGAGACAGCGAGATAAACTCTCGAGAGATTTGCATCAGCTTTGTAGGAAACATCATACTTCTCAATAGTATTGTTTTTATATCTATTCAGATATGAATTTAACAGCGATCGTCATCAACCTATTTATTGCTGGGACCGATACAACTGCTACAATGATTCGATGGGCCATTGTTTACCTTATTTATAACAAAGACATCCAGGACAAACTTCGACAGGAGATAGAGACAGTTGTCGGGACGTCTAGACTACCGTCACTTGCCGACAAATCTAGTATGCCTTACTATGAAGCGTTTATAACAGAGGTATTCCGGATGGGCAACATTGCTCCTCTTTCTGTGCCTCACGGAGCCAAGAAGGACATCACATTTCGCGGTATGGTTATCCCGAAAGGGTCAGTTATAATACCCAACCTTAACTCCGTTATGGAAGACCCGGTCTTATTTGAAAATCCTGACAAATTTCGACCAGAAAGGTTTTTGGGAGATGATGGGCAACTTAATGGCAAGGAAAAGACAGTCATGGCCTTTTCATTAGGTAAGAATTGACTTTTTTTCTTGTTTTTTGGTTTTGTTTAATCATTTAAAAAAATCGCGGCTTCGCAGTTGATGTTCATGACTTCGCTAAATCTTTTTTATTCGAATATCCGAGGTGATTTCCTTGATTTTTCGAAAGTTATTCCACTTCTACGTGGAGATAATAACTATTGCTTATCTGTAATGGAGTACTGTCCAAAGATTCTCATCAAATATCATATGAAAGCCGTAAGTTCGCGGATTTCAAATTTCGCGGTGTTAACGCCTTTTTACGTTTGATATGAGACATGACGTCATCAGTTGTTGTCTATAAAGATATGTCCCAGTGAAAAATGTATTTTAGCTGAAACTAATCACTGCAAGTGGTAAAAACAAACGCTGACAAAACAAAAAAAAAAAAAAAAAAAAAAAAGGAATAGGTTAAAAAGCTTAAATGAAGGACTTTACACCAATATGATATAATGTATTAATTATAATTTAATTCAAGTTTTTACTGTGCAATACTCCGAAGTTGTAAACATTGACTAATTGTTATTTTTTCACAATCAATATCCATGATCTCAAACTTGACTTGCTAAAAAACGTGGTTGTCTTAATCCTAGTTTTCCATAACGTAATCCTTTCTGTGCCGACGTGATTTCCGTAGTATGTTAAGGCATTAGTTGTAAACACTCTGGAGTAAGTACAACAAATATCAAACAGTGTAGTGGGAGAAGTAATGTACATAAAATCAAACTATGATGTAGAGTTTTAAAACGTAGATGTGAGTTAATCAGGAAAGTCGTAAGAACAATGTACAGTCAACATCCGGTAGACGAGCATACGTAAAGGTGAACACGCCCGTTTGAAAACAATAAACAAAACAAAAAAACTTAGTAAACAACGAACAGCGGGCCTTAGTAATCCTTTCAATGGTTTTGTGTGTATAACAATAGGAAATATCGCCCACATTAAATATTGTACGTAAGGGTATCACATAATATTTCTTATTTTGACAATAACGGCTTTTATTGTTACATACAAGAACTTTAAACTTCCGTTGGTACAAGAGCTGTGGACTTCCGGGGATACTTCATTGTAGCTGTCAATTTAAATTTGTATTAAATTACTGTTTTACAGGTCGGCGTGTCTGTCTTGGCGAGTCTCTGGCCAGAATGGAGTTATTTCTTTACATGACGTCATTATTGCAAAGGTTCGAGATCCTACCGGAAAGTCCAGACAAGTTTCCATCCTTGGAAGCTAATTTCGGACTCGGACGTGCGTGTAAGGACTACAAATGTCGTGTTATAAAGCTTAAATGAAGGACTTTACACCAATATGATATAATGTTTTAATTATTATTTAATTCAAGTTTTTACTGTGCAATACTCCGAAGTTGTAAACATTGACTAATTGTTATTTACCGGAGGACGATCATAAACAACAATCTAACTGGGTATCATCCGGAAACGACATTTAACGCACATCCTGTGTTTTGTCTATTACGTTCTTTTATAACGCTACTGTTTAGCTAGCTAATTTGAGTGTGACGTTTAAATGACAACGGTCATCTTCATCAGGCAAATGACCAGTGTGCTAATATGTTTCACACTGGTCATTTGTCCACTGAAGGTGGCCGTACAGTCATCGAAGCGTCACACTTTAATTTTACATTGGGAATGTTATCAGAAATTCTTTTTGAAAACACCTACTGTGTAGCTGTGTGGTACTAACGCCATTGGTTTAAATTGATTGCATTTCAGACTTTTTTTGTTATAAATATGATATTACAAAATAAACCTTTTGTTATAAAATGTTGTTTAATCTTTTATGTCAATATTTGCATCTCGTATCATAATGCAGCAATTTGATTGGTTGATAAGTTTGATTCATTGAGAGACGGGCTTATATCTTGGTGGACAATATCGTAAATTCACCACCAACACCACACTAACAACTAACCATTTCCCCACAGTCAGTCGGATGGGACTTAAAGCGGTGACCTGTGTGAGAGTGTCCAACTTGCACGATAAAGACTCCTCTATGGCTTTTCGGAAAAGAGCAATACAATAAACATATCGGAATTTAACCTAGTGAAGAAATCCCTTTTTCTCCCTCTCAGTTCTGACAACGGTCTTCTTGCTGCATCGTGCTAAATGTTAGGCTAGGTATACCATTAGAAACGTCGGTAGCTATTTCTATAATGTAATTAGTGTTAATATTCCTACAGTATATCTATTTCTATAATGTAAATGTGTTCGATTTATTGTAATGCTTTTATTTTAATGACTATATAAGATATTGCCATGAAAGATTTCAAGATAGTTTTGTGTATATCAAATAAACGTTTTGCGTCGCAAATTATCAAAAATATAAAATACAGCTCTACGCGTAAATGGAAAACGAGTCAAGCTTTGCAAATAAAACGCATACATATAAATCAGTGGGAAAAATATGAAATATATCAAAATATAATCACAATGCGGGAATGAAATTTTATCTGTGGTGATATAAGCTAAATAGGTAATATTTCGCAATAAACATTCAGGCACCATTTGCCATTTAGACAGCCTTCAGGAGGCCATTGACTCCATGTATGTACATACTTGTAGTGTTATTGACCTACATTACGGTTATCTCGCTTCCAACACTGTGTTTCCTCCGCCTAGACATTATAATTATAGAATCGACAGGACAAGCATACAGACAACCTGTCCTAATAACAGACCATTGAATCATATTTTGATTTATATGATATTATAGTGCGCGGTCACGGCCTAAGCAACCTCGGTAAGGTTTCTTTAATAATGATGACTTGTTATTAATAAATCACCAAGTTAATCAAAGGAATATGTTGTAGAGGCCGCTTACTCTTCCGGAACACCTGGTCTTATTATCCTTGTACTTTTTTCAGGAGTCTCCGTATAAATCTTTCTTTTGTTCCTATTTTGCCCTACTTTTATTGATTATGATGATGTTGACATGTTGGTATTTTCTTGTTGATTTTGTAATATGTGTTTAGATATCCTGTTTTTATCGGATATAACAGTGATTTAAACACAGTTGTTTTTAGCGTAAGGTGTTTCAAGTGTGCAGACAACATTTTTGAATTTGTCTCGCTCCTAAACAGTTTCGATCTTTTTTTTAATTATAGTCCTGTGGGTAAATAGGTAAATTAAATAATCGAACCAACCCCCCCCCCCCCACCCCCCCCCACCCCCCCCCCCAAAAAAAAATGAAAAATGAAAAACAAACATGGAATCTATTCTAATCCTGTTTAGACCGAATTTCTTTTTTTTTTTCGAGACGGATTGATTCAGAGATTTTACCACAACTACGTGATAAAAACGTTTGTACATTGTAGCCATAAACATTTAGAGCTATCTTTCAAAGCCATGATAACTGGTCTGATCATGTAAATCATATTCATGAAAAATTTGTAAAATAAGAAATAGTCTTGAGAACGCTATAGACTTGACGGAAATTCGCTTCAAAATATAACATTGATTTGTCGTATTTGAAAATACGCCAATACAATGTAGACAAATTGTACCGAACGAGAGAGTAATATCCTAGAGTCCATCCAGCTTGAGGCAATACGAATAATTAACTGCTTGAGACGGGAGACAACTCGTCATATCTTATACAGATAACCTCCATCAAAATATTGAATTTTAAAAGATTTTTCACAATAGATCCAGCATAATAATGTTTGTGATTCAACTTAAGTTCAATTATAATACTGACCAATATTATCTCCGTTATGTATACTTGATGTTCCCTAGCAGGAAACATTTCTTTTACTGGTATCTTCTCAAAATAATATCGAAACGGAATAACCCATCTTTTCTCAGATACAGTCAATAGATGTAATGAAAAATGATGTATAATTGCAACCCGTTGCAGATGCTGAAAACAAGTGCACCTCCATTAGAAATTCTGTATGTAATTTGGACGCGGTCTTGTTTAATTTCCACTTAATGAGTAACCCTGTCTGTACCTGTGATCAGTTAAGAAACTCTGTCGTAATTTGGACGCGGTCTTGTTTAATTTCCACTTAATGAGTAACCCTGTCTATACCTGTGAAGATCGATTGAAGATTGTTCTGTCATTTTCCCCCATTTCCCCTCCATATTACCTCATTTTTGTGACCTACGTGATTGCGTTTCCCTAAAAACTCAAACATTTATAAATGGTTGTCATCAGCTTGATGTAGTCACGAATGAGTTGATTCAGAGATTTATTACTGGTACCAGACGTCTTTTTAAAGTAAATATTCCGTCCATACATTATTGTGTCAGATTTTGTCAGCTTGCTTTCTGTATGAATTCAGCAAAGGAGATCGAGTTAGACAGTTTGCCTGTGTTGCATTCCAATCAAGGTGGTTTTCAGACTGATTCTTGTCATAATCATTGAGTGATATTTACACCAATAAAGCGATAGTTTCTTTATTCCATTTACTTGTCTCAGATATTTCTGTATCATTCCAGTATCCTTCACTTTATTAATTCATTATCTGACTGATGTGTAAATTTGTTTATAATAGTAAGGAGAGTTCTAAGCTATGATTGTTGCCCAGTTCCTTTTGTCAGTAAAGTCATGGCAACAAAATATTCTAAAACAAAAGAAAATCTATCACAGAAATATTGATATCGCGGGCCAGAAATGTCGAACAAATCGACAAGTAATCATCATGCTTTGAGGAAGCAGGGATGCTACTTCCAAAAATGACAAATTCATCAGTAGGAAAATAACCCAAACACGTTTAATTACCATACAATATGGAGGAAAGTGATAACTGTTAGTAGTAAACAATGCTTCTGGATGATACAGAATGATTCACTGTTTCAATGTGGGCACAGTACGCCGCGACTCTTATCACCAATACCAACCGCACACTATTTTTCAGCAGCATGTTGAGACGGAAATTGAACTTTGTTCAGTTAGGCTTCACCCTTTATATCATTAGTTTAAGTTGCATTATTACAGACAAATGGTCTGGAGTGAAATGGCATTTCTGTTTTAAAGCCAGTATCATTAATAAAATTTCAGTCACATCCTCATTTCCCCATTTTGTTAATAAACTCAGGCATTACTCCAGGATACCGTGAAAACTCGAAATTAAAACGATGCTTCCTTTCTTGAAAAGTAAATTAATGATGCACCACACCAACTTTTATATAAATCCACCAAGGCCTGAAGGAAAATAGTGTTTAAAACATATCTAAGCTAATTCTCCCTTTAAGGGACTCGCTCCTTAACCACTCGGATAAAATAAAAATTCAGAATTCTAAGAAATGATTGACAAATCTAACCTCCCCCAATAATGCATTAAGCCAAATTTGGTTATAATTCATGAAGGCATGGATGAGGAGTAGCAATTAAAATTATTGTTTAACTTCCCCTTTTAAGCCTCTTCATCGTTCTCTATTCTTAGGAGTAGAGCATTGATAATGTAGGAAGTTACAGTATAACTCGAAGACTAAATCTAAGTTGTCTTTATAACTCCAATCGAACATCAATTCCATCACACATTATGTGCTAATGTTTATATGAAATGTGGCAATGCATAGAGAATATCTAGGTCAACCTTCGGAATTGAAGATCATATTGTTTTCCCATGAAGTCACTTAGTTATAAAGATGACATACGTTTTATGCAGTGACACGTGGATGGGGACTCCTTGTCGTTTGTGACACTTAAAACTTTCCCTATATAGGTCACAAAAGTGTCTTTACATAAACGTTTGAAATAATTGTTGACAACATAGAATGTTACTATCCTTCTCAAGTTTAGCACAGTGACAGTAGCGTTTGGTGTAATATTACTGATCCTGTCGGTCAGAACAATGGCTGAGCAATATCCCACCTGGTCCATCTGGTCACCAAATCATTGGACATATGCTTACGTTTCTAAATAAACGGAACAAGTGGGGGTATTTCAGGAAACTTCAAACACAATAAAGGTTTATACACTTAAAATAACACATTTGCACAATAGAGTTCACTAGCAATTGCACTAGTGTTCTTAAGCTTCTGTACAATTTTGTGTACTTGATTTCACTATTTCTGAACTAGATTTTACAGACTACTACAATGGAGTGTATCAGTGTGCGCATCATAGTTTTATAGCTATAACGCTTAAATGCACTAGATTGAGCCATTTTTGTAACAAAATTCAGAGTCAAACTTGTTTACAAGTTGTATGAGCTAATAATCCAACCCTTGCGTTTTGATATTTGGAATAAAATTATCGACAAGCAAATCATTTTAAAAAGAAAACGGATATTAACTCTGTCTACATTGAAATATTTAATGTTTAACATAAGGTCTTTGGAATCTAGAATGCATGGCGACATAGCAGTATATCTGGAAGTCCTTGGGGAAACGGGCAAGCTTAAAATAGAAGGAAAATCACATTGATTGTCATACCAAATAGCATGGGCAGCACAGCTTTTGGAAACGGATTTGACTACAGTGATGAGAAATTTAGATATCCATTTTTGGTAACTTTCGCTTAAATTCAGTGTTAAGACCTTTCGAGTTTGCATTCTACAGATTTCTTCAACATCACATGAATATCAAAGGTTTTGTCAATTAGCAATTGATGAAATACCGGCACACATTTTGAAGAAGAAAATCAAGGAAAATAAAACCAAGTGTTCAGGAAGAGAAAGCGTCTTCTGCTTCATCGACGACACCCGACATGTAACCCTTGGTCAATAAGACCACTATGGCGACCATAAAATAATTTTCATCAACCTGCATTTTTTAATCCTTGTTTTACGAGTTTGTCAGTCAGTTGACGAAAATCGTGATAATGTACAATATTAACTTAACCAATGTATTGTTCAGATAGCATCTCTATATTCTCGACCCGACTGTATTGTTCATGTGTTTGATATATAAAGATTTATTTTACCATTAGTATGTCCACATTATGATATTATTGTTATATATTTAATATTGTTACTATAATTTATCACAATGTGACAAGTATCAAACCATTTCTAAGTATTGATAGTAGAAAGAAAACTGTTTTCTGTGGGTTTTCTTATGTTACATATCCAAATACCTACTGTTATGATCATATCACTTTTTTTATTGCTAATCTCAAAGTTTGAGAGGTGGACCTATAGTAGTGTTTTTTGTGTGAAAATTTGAATTCATGCCTTTAGCAGGGTAAATATTTGTTTTATTATCCTATTTTATCGTTCTCCTTTCACTGGTATATAAAAGTTTCTTCTTACACCAAAATGATAGATACTTTTGTTAGCATAGCTTGTTTCCACGTTTTAATACTTTTCACACATGGATGATTTCTTGTCGTTTATGAAACGTTAGCTGGTTATGCATTCTCTTATATTTTTTACGGTTTTACATACAAATTTGAAAAAAATTAATGACAGGTGGTATCCATTCTTCTTATAGTTGATTAAAGCCAACAATCCAGGTTGAGGAAAACGTTGACAAAATGCGGTGATTTTCACATTGTGGTGGTATCTGGTATTCAAGGCTATGAATGGATACGTGCACGGACCGCAAAAAAAGTAATGTAGTTCAACACCAGTAGTTTCTCGTTCCTAAACATTACAGCTTTTCAAACACTTCAGAACAGTCTCTCAAAATGCATGGTACCCGGTATGTGTTAAAAGAACCCTATATCTTCTTTAAACACGCAGTTTTACAGAGATAAATAATTTCAGTGTTACTTCATGCTGTTTATGATGTTTACACGAATGGAAGCCATACATGCACACTGTAATCTTAAGAGCCTTTGGAGAATAATGAACTCAAACGTGTAGCTCTTTTGCGATATATGGAACGTATACATGGCAGGTGGATTGAGGTGTTAGGGTATATAGGTATATGAAATATATACATCGCAGGTGGATTGAGGTGTTGGGGTAGGTAGATATATGGAACGTATACATGACAGGTGGACTGAGGTGTTGTGGTGGGTAAATATATGGAACGTATATTTGGCAGGTGGATTGAAGTGTTTGGGTAGGTAGATATATGGACATGGCAGGTGGATTGAGGTGTTGGGGTAGGTAGATATATGGACATGGCAGGTGGATTGAGGTGTTGGGGTAGGAAGATATATGGAACGTATACATGGCAGGTGGATTGAGGTGTTCGGGTAGATAAATATATGGAACATATACATGGCTGGTTTATTCAGGTGTTGGGGTAGATAGGTATATGAAATATATACATCGCAGGTGGATTGAGGTGTTGGGGTAGGTAGATATATAGAACGTATACATGTCAGGTGGATTGAGGTGTTGGGGCAGGTGGATATATGGAACGTATACATGTCAGGTGGATTGAGGTGTCGGGGCAGGTTGATATATGGAACGTATACATGGCAGGTGGATTGAGGTGTTGGGGTAGGTAGATATATGGAGCGTATACATGACAGGTGGATTGAGGTGTTGGGGTAGGTAGATATATGGACATGGCAGGAGGATTAAAGTGTTGAGGTAGGTAGATATGGAACGTATACATGACAGGTGGATTGAGGTGTTGGGGTAGGTAGATTGAGGTGTTTGGGTAGGTAGGTATATGGACATGGTAGGTAGATTGAGATGTTGGGGTAGGTAGATTGAGGTGTTTGGGTAGGTAGATTGAGGTGTTGGGGTAGGTAGATTGAGGTTTTGGGGTAGGTAGATTGAGGTGTTGGGGTAGGTAGATTAAGGTGTTGGGGTAGGTAGGTATATTTGGGAACAGGGTATAGCGTGAACAGGAAGAAGATCAATACTTTAGCCCAGTGTTTGTAATACGTAGTTTATAATTATGTAACAAGGACACGAGACAGAGTACTCCGTCATACTAATAATCGTTCATTTGTAACCATGCTTGTTTACATCAGTTAAACTTGTGTGTACGGGTATCAGGAGAGCGGTAGTATTTTATTGTATACGTTACCTAACCTTCCTTATTGTAGAGTTAAATTACAATCAATACAGTTTAGACAATCGTTTAAATAAGTCGAAAGACATTTAGACATACACGATGATACAACTGTTTACCACGTATACCGAAACAAAATACACAGGGGATCAAAATAATGAAAATACAAAATACAGAGTCAATCGAAATCACAAAAGGACGATCAACCCACACAAAGACAGGTATCGAGACTGTGCCCAACTGGGGACCTACAATGATCGACTTCAGTGACCCGTCAAGGGAACGCTTGTCTAGATATAGCTGGCCGCCATTAATCTTCGCACTAAATACATGTGACGTTTTGCACAGTCAGAGAGATATGGTGTGATGTTTAAATACACACGAACATGTTATCGTTATGATATCTGGAATATGTGGATAGATTACAAACAGCCGTGCGAGGTGGTATACGTGAGTAGTAAGGATGGATTTAATCTCACTCCTCAGTTTTAACGCAGTCACAGTAACCGTTGTTGTGATACTACTTGTCCTGTTGGTCAGCCGGTCACTACAATGGCCGGCCAACGTCCCGCCTGGTCCAGTTGGTTACCCTGTCGTAGGATGCATGCCTATGTTTCGAAATGGAAACTTACTGGAGATATTTCGGAAACTTCGAGTTCAATATGGCGATGTGTACAGTGTGAAGATTGGAATCAGTCTGACGGTGGTGATCAGTGGAGTCGACGCGTTAAAAGAGGCTTTCATCAAACATGCCGACGATTTCTCTGATAGATCCCGGGCATCTGTGACAGGCAATCTTTTCAAGCATAGAGGTACACATATACATGTAGTTAAAATATTTGTGGTTTATTTACAATTATCCCGACTCCGGGACTCCCCTTACAGCACACGCTTACTTGTTTACTCCTGTTTACAATTATCCCGACTCCGGGACTCCCCTTACAGCACAGGCTTACTTGTTTACTTCGGTTTTCTCCTGTTTACAATTATCCCGACTCCGGGACTCCCCTTACAGCACATGTTTACTTGTTTACTTCGGTTTACTCCTGTTTACAATTATCCCGACTCCGGGACTCCCCTTACAGCGCATGTTTACTTGTTTACTTCGGTTTACTCCTGTTTACAATTATCCCGACTCCGGGACTCCCCTTACAGCACATGTTTACTTGTTTACTTCGGTTTTCTCCTGTTTACAATTATCCCGACTCCGGGACTCCCCTTACAGCACACGCTTACTTGTTTACTCCTGTTTACAATTATCCCGACTCCGGGACTCCCATTACAGCACACGGTTACTTGTTTAGATCGATTTAGTCTGATCACAATCCTGCGCAATTGCTTCACAGTTTGAAATCGTTCAGAGATAGTTACTTCCTATCCTAGTTCTTCGTCACATGTTCTGTCAGTCCTTCTTGGTTGTGGTGGTTAGATATAGTATTGGTGGTCGACATTTTCCTTACTTATGTAATTGATTATTCATTGTTATAACTTTTTCCCGCAAGGTCCTGTACAACTTTTACTGTTAATATAGGATCTGAGACAAGAAAAACTTGTTCTCTGTGATGACCCTATATACATTTGCAATTCTGTATCAATCAGTGTTAAATGCATCTCGTTTTGAGTCCCTGAGTTTTATTTGTCTCCTCTACGAAATGTGAACATACAAGTAAACGTCACCCACACACAACATCACACATACAACATCACACACACAACATCACACACACAACGTCACACACACAACATCACACACACAACCTCACACACACAACGTTACACATACCACGTTATACACACAACGTTACACACACAAAATCACACACACAACATTACACACACAACATCACACATAGAACATCACACATACAACGTTACACATTCAACATCACACACACATCGTCACACACACAACGTTATACATACAACGTTACACATACAACATTACACACACAACATCACACATACAACATCAAACATACAACATCACACACAACGTCATACACACAACGTTACACATACGACGTTTTACACACAACGTTACACACACAACGTTACACACACACAACGTTATACACACAACGACACACACACACACAACGTCACACACACAACGTTACACATACAACGTTACACATACACAACGTCAAACACAACGTTACACACATAACGTTACACATACAACGTCACACACACAACGTCACACACACAACATTACACATACAACATTATACATGCAACATCACACAAACAACGTTACACACAACATCACACACACAGCATTACATGCACGTCACACACACAACGTTACACACACAACGTTACACATACAACATCACACATACAACATCACACACACAACGTCACACAACGTTACACATATAACGTTAAACACACAACATCACACACACACACAAGGTTATACACACAACGACACACACACACAACGTTATACACACAACATCACACACACAACGTCACACACACAACGTTACACATACAACGTTTCACACACACAACGTCACACACAACGTTACACACACAACGTCACACATAAACAACATCACACACACAACTTTACACGCACGTCACATACACAACGTCACACACACAACGTTACACATACAACATCACACATACAACATCAAACATACAACATCACACACACAACGTCATACACACAACGAAACACACACACAACATCACACACACAACGTCACACACACAACGTTACACATACAACGTTTCACACACACAACGTCACACACAACGTTACACACACAACGTCACACATAAACAACATCACACACACATACATCAAACATCACACATACAACGTCACACATACATCAAACATAAAACGTCACACATACAACCTCACACACACAACGTCACACATACAACGTCACACACACAACGTCACACACACGTCACACACACACACAACGTTACACGTACAATATCACACATACAACATCAAACACACAACGTCACACATAGAACATCAAACCCACAACGTCACACATACAACATCACACAGACAACATCAAATCCACAACGTCACTCATACAACATCACACGTACAACATCAAACACACAACGTTACACACACAACATCACACACACAACGTTACACACACGTCACATACACACAACGTCACACATACAACGTTACACACACAACGTTACGCATACAACGTTAAACACACAACATCACACACCCAACGTTACATACACAACGTTATACACACACACAACGTCACACATACAACCTTTCACACACAACGTCACACACACAACGTCACACACATAACGTCACACATACAACTTTACACACACAATGTTGCACACATTGATGGTCAGTTTTACGTTTATAGGTATCGGATTCTCATCTGGTGAATATTGGAAACACACAAGGACATTTGCTCTATCGACACTCCGAAACTTTGGATTTGGTAGGAAGACTTTGGAATCCAAAGTACAAGAAGAGATAACAGCCTATCTAGACGTGATTGAAGAACAGAAAGGAAGCCCTTACGACATGAAGGAAATGACTGTGATGGCCATATCAAATATCATATGTAGCATTACATTTGGAAACAGATTGGATTATACCAATGCAAAATTCAAGAAAATAACATCTCTTTTTGCCGAAAATTTTCGATTAAATTCACTGGGAGGTGCCGCTCAAGCTTTGCCATGCTTGAGACACCTTCCTGGAGATATGTTCCATTTAAAGAAATTGATTCAAAATTCAAAGGATATCAGAGACTTTGTCATAGAACAAATAAAAGAGCACAGAAACTCGTTTGACGAAGAGAATCAACGAGATTTCATTGATGCGTTTCTTAGTCAGCAAAACAAAGATGGCGAGGAGGATACGATATTTGAAGGTGAGAACACTCCATTTGTATATATTTTACACGGTATGTTTGAATTTTCAGCATTTGATATATAATTTGGAAGTGGACATATCTGCCTCTGTGTCATATATTTGATATTCGGGTCTTCATGTTGTCATATATTAAACCACGGGTCATATTGTGAACCTCGCGAAGCAGAATTTATGGTTTTATGGAATTTAAAAGCTTATATTGCCTTGAAATATTCCTACTTTTTACACATCCATACCCCATTCTGAACGTTAGGGTCACTGTCATTCTTTATTTATATCGCAAACGTGAACCACGATACAAGTATATACATGTGTCTACCTCTAAAGTATCTGTGTTAAAAAGGTGCTACTCACTTGTGTGTTGATTGGATAATCAATCAAAGTTGGTATCCAAAGGTCCGTGTTAATTACTCATGATATCTGTGTTCCTTCATGTGTTGTATGTAACTTATAAATCATACATGTATTTATTGATTACCCTTTACTGTTCAACTATGCAGATCTGAACCTGGCAGTTTCCGTCATCAATCTGTTTGTTGCTGGCACCGACACAACGGCTACTATGATACGCTGGGCAATTATTTACCTTATTCATAACAAAGACATTCAGGACAAACTTCGACTGGAGATAGAGATAGTTGTCGGGACGTCTAGACTACCGTCACTTGCCGACAAATCTAGTATGCCTTACTATGAAGCGTTTATAACAGAGGTGTTCCGGATGGGCAACATTGCTCCTCTTTCTGTGCCTCACGGAGCTTTGAAGGACATTCACTTCCGGGGCATGGTTATTCCAAAAGGATCTCTAATAATACCAAACCTTGATTCAGTCATGACCGATCCGGATCTTTTTGAAGATCCTGATAAATTCGATCCCGAGAGATTTCTAGGGGAAGACGGGCAAATGAATGGCAAAGAAAGGAATGTTATGGCCTTCTCGCTAGGTAATGATGTTTTAAATATGTATGTTCAGTACAAACAAGTGAAAATGTTGCAGCAATTTTCATGCGGATTTAGAATTCCATGTAGTAGAGCGAGACAATAAATTAAACCGCCTCTTTCAGCTGTTTAGTCTTCTAGGACTTGTCAGTGATGATAAGGGAACTCAAGTTTGAAACCTAGGAGAACAATTTGTTGACATCATGGGATCATAGTATATTTTATTTTAAACTTTTTAAAACGTTAATCTGATACATAACCATAATCTGATCTATTACGGTTATTTTACTGTTTCCGGAATCAACTGACACATCAAATAGACAATTAGAAATTACACATCTAAGAACTCTGTTTGGTGAAAGATTAGATATTGTCAGATTTCGCTAAGACTTGATATATAAATTTTATTATGGTAGTTTGTGCCTTAATATGTCCATTCCCTTTATCAGTTAAATGTGTGCTTAACATTTTGTTGGTTTGAAGAATGAAAAAAAAAACAAAAAAACAAAAAGAAAATCTACTGAATCCCTAAGCTTACTATAGTGAAAAACGTAAGTTTGGTAATATTGAGTGATTCGATGTTTTTTAAAGGGTTTAATGGTTGATAAAACAGATATATCCACATATATACATACATGTATGATTAATGAAGTAACAACGACAGTATGGACAAGCGTGAATTATCAAATTTTCGAGGCAATCTGACCCTTCATCCAACGAACATTTGTTTGTTAGGATCCAGTACAAATATTTGACCATACCGTCGATATATTACCGTCTAGATTATATATATATTACGTTAAAATATTTGTGTACTGGTAACCTATGGATCAAGGTTCTTGTTTGTGTGATCTACTTTGATACATCCAACTTGTTAGATTTCTTTATATACCCTCCGTCCGTCTGTGGTATCAATATTCATTGTGTTTATAGATACTTCTCTCGCCATTCTTCTTTAGGTTCTTGTTATATTGTCTTTGTATCGTCGTGATAGATGCAATGACATTAAATTAAAACGGCATGATGTGCTTATAATTACAACGATAATTTAGAAGACTATTTATGCAGCGCCTATCTTTACGATCAGTAAGTTTCATAGTGAACTTATCTTTTTATTTGTATTATGAATACAAGGATGGCTGAGGGAATTAAACACTCTTTAAATTTCTGATTACAGGACGGCGAATCTGTATCGGCGAGTCCCTGGCCAGAATGGAACTATTTCTGTTCTTGACCTCACTGCTGCAAAGATTCAGGTTCCTGCCGGAGAACCCAGACAAACTCCCGTCAACTGAAAGCATTTTAGGATTAGTACGAGTGTCAAAGGACTACAGATGTCGTGCTGTGAAGCTCATATGATCAATTGTGCCAATGAGAATGCATTCAAAAATGTATACATGAGATTTAACGTCACTGGAAGTGTAGATAGAACATCGTGTTGACTGCCAGAAATATATCTGTGCACTTATCAAATGAGGATATAGTGCGTTCATTAAAATGTTATCATATTGTTCTTAACATTGATCACTTGATTCTCTATGGATAAAACTGAGATGTAAACTTATTTTTAACAATTATTGCGAAACAAGTTATAGCAACATATATCAAAGACTGTTGTTGTCTCGGATGAAAGCGCGCGTGGTCGGACAGGTGCATCTACCTTTTCACGTCCGTTCGCGGAATCGAACCTCTGACGTCTGGGTGAAAGGCGAATTTGTCACCATCCAACAATTCGATAAAACTGACTACATATGACATCTTCATACAGTTTATAGTATGACATATTCCATACTGGACGATGTAAGTTTGATTTTTCTGACAATTCCAAAGGCTTTAGTTGATTGAATTTCCATGTACATGTGTGTATATATATATTCCCTCTTCTGTCATGCTATTAAACTTCATTTAAAGTACATGAATAGTGATGGATAAATTCGGAATAAATTCCAGAAATGAAGGAACGTTATAAAATCCGGTGCCAGATTATATATTGGTAACATTCACAAGAACATATAGGTCAGGTTTGTAGTTAACAGTAGTTTCAGTTATTGGAAACGTGACTGAGTTGAAAACAGGATAAACATCTTCCCACGGATAATTATAAATCTCCATATGTATGATCGTTTACCCTCCTGATAACTAGATGAGAGACTTGTTTGAATAATATTTTCTAGCATGTTGTTTTAACGATATTTCGTTCCTTACAATTAAGGTCCAGCACCATGTCAATTATACCCTAATGTTAGTTGTAAATGTATCGTTATACTCGATATTTTATCCAGGTTTACATAAGCTTTTTATTTAACAAGATCATGGAAATAGCTTTTATTTTTAGAGATGGCAAAAGTTAAAAAAAAAGAAAGAAAAATGTTTCTAATAAATATTTTTTATGCCTATTACCAAAACAAAATTTGTTGATTTTACCAATTCTTACCGTATTGACATTTGCTTGCGTATTGAATAGTTCCTGTAACCACTCGATACTCTAAAACGGTAACGATTGATTTTGCCGAAAGTCTGTAGTTAAGATTTATTACCATCTTTCAATTCATTAGAAGACATATTTTTGTAATATATACATACTTTATACTTAGCGTATATATACCAGTGATTATAGTCTATATCATTAATGTTAGTTCGCTTTTTACAGTGATTATAGTCTATATCATTAATGTTAGTTCGGTTTTTACAGTGATTATAGTCTATATCATTAATGTTAGTTCGGTTTTTACAGTGATTATAGTCTATATCATTAATGTTAGTTCGGATTTTACAGTGATTATAGTCTATTTCATTAATGTTAGTTCGGTTTTTACAGTGATTATAGTCTATATCATTAATGTGAGTTGGGGGGTTTATCTGTGTTTTTACCTGTGGTTCTCACCTGTACATGTATAAAAAAAAATTATTATGCAATTTTTAATGATGCTATATTATTTTTGTTGTATATTCCAAAATAATATAAACTATTGTGATATCATTTCCACTATATAATTTTTTATTATAATAGTTTTGGGTCCAGATGATATTTTTCCAGTGAAATGTTTTAATATGAAAACTGTTCACTAATCTTAGTTCAATCTTTTAAAACATGATTCAATTCAATTTATTTCTCGTTTTACAAATGTACATAGAGAATGTCATACAAAACATATATACAACAATTAAAGGTTCACAGAGGCTGAAACATTAATAATATATATTACCGATGTCATGAAGGACAAACAATTGAAAATATAAATCTGATGAATTTACACATTTGTTTTAGTAATTAATATTATTTGTATTCATTAATGATTGGAATTTAATTATATTTACTCTTTTACAATAATATTCACCTAAGTATTACTTCCTTTTACTGAGAAATCTAGAATATTCTAATAAATAATGAAATTCATCTCCAATTTTATAATCATTACAATACGTACAAAATCTTTCTTCCCGCGCAATACCATTCTATCTACCCGTTTCAATTATGCGTTCCGGGAACACCCCAGTTATGCGGGTAGTTTGTGTGTCTGATAGTTTGGACTACCAGAGACCGGCCTCGGTCAAGACGTCCAAGCGTAATGTCTAATCGCTAAGATACGTTCATCTCCGTGAACGGCTTAGAACTGCATCTTTGACGGACAGAAGTATTCATGTCCTTTGAGAAATTAGTCCCCGAATTGTACGTAATCGATTGCTTGGTGTAGACGACACATACACTTCAACAGTAGGACTTTGCACGTGTTCTTTTCACGAATGAGTTCAGGTTTCATCTCAACAGCAGCGACGGTTGTTGAAGAGTGTACCGTCGTGTTGATGAATGTTTCCATAACAGGTGTGTGATTCAGCGACGTCCATTTGGCGAAGGTAGTGTCATGCTGTGGGATGGCATCTCATTACGTGACAGAACAACTCTTGTGGCTGTGGACGGCACACTTACAGGCATCAGATACCGTATCGAAATCATTCGGCATCACGTCCTGCCATTTATGCTGCAACGTAACGCCACACTGCAACAGGATAAGGCTCGCTCGCACGCCGCGCGGACCGTCACCGACGTTTTGATCCAGAACAATGTGAATGTGCTGCCTCAGCCTGTAATGTCACCGGATTTGTCGCCGATAGAACACGTGTGTGATGAGATGCAGCGTCGCTTCCAAAATCAGCCGTTGTCGTTACCTAACCTGTCATGTACTCCTATCACTAGCTGACAGTTACCTCTCCTATCACTAGCTGGCAGTTCTCTCCTATCACTACCCGAGAGTTACCTCTCCTATCACTAGCTGACAGTTACCTCTCCTATCACTAGCTGACAGTTACCTCTCCTATCACTAGCTGACAGTTACCTCTCCTATCACTAGCTGACAGTTACCTCTCCTATCACTAGCTGACAGTTACCTCTCCTATCACTAGCTGACAGTTACCTCTCCTATCACTACCTGACAGTTACCTCTCCTATCACTATCTGACAGTTACCTCTCCTATCACTAGCTAACAGTTACCTCTCCTATCACTCCTATACTATCACTAGACAGTTATCTCTCCTATCACTAGCTGAGAGTTACCTCTCCTATCACTAGCTGACAGTTACCTCTCCTATCACTAGCTGACAGTTACCTCTCCTATCACTAGCTGACAGTTACCTCTCCTATCACTAGATGACATTTACCTCTCCTATCACTACCTGACAGTTACCTCTCCTATCACTACCTGACAGTTACCTCTCCTATCACTACCTGACAGTTACCTCTCCTATCACTAGCTGACAGTTACCTCTCCTATCACTAGCTGACAGTTACCTCTCCTATCACTAGCTGACAGTTACCTCTCCTATCACTAGCTGACAGTTACCTCTCCTATCACTACCTGACAGTTACCTCTCCTATCACTAGCTGACAGTTACCTCTCCTATCACTAGCTGCCATTTACCTCTCCTATCACTACCTGACATTTACCTCTCCTATCACTATCTGACAGTTACCTCTCCTATCACTACCTGACAGTTACCTCTCCTATCACTACCTGACAGTTACCTCTCCTATCACTACCTGACAGTTACCTCTCCTATCACTAGCTGACAGTTACCTCTCATATCACTACCTGACAGTTACCTCTCCTATCACTACCTGACAGTTACCTCTCCTATCACTACCTGACAGTTACTAACAGTTACCTCTCCTATCACTACCTAACAGTTATCTCTCCTATCACTACCTGAGAGTTACCTCTCCTATCACTATCTGACAGTTACCTCTCCTATCACTAGCTGACAGTTACCTCTCCTATCACAAGCTGACAGTTACCTCTCCTATCACTAGCTGGCAGTTCTCTCCTATCACTACCCGAGAGTTACCTCTCCTATCACTAGCTGACAGTTACCTCTCCTATCACTAGCTGACAGTTACCTCTCCTATCACTACCTGACAGTTACCTCTCCTATCACTACCTGACAGTTACCTCTCCTATCACTAGCTGACAGTTACCTCTCATATCACTAGATGACAGTTACCTCTCCTATCACTACCTGACAGTTACCTCTCCTATCACTACCTGACAGTTACCTCTCCTATCACTACCTGATAGTTACCTCTCCTATCACTAGCTGACAGTTACCTCTCATATCACTAGCTGACAGTTACCTCTCCTATAACTAGCTGACACATACCTCTCCTATCACTACCTGAGAGTTACCTCTCCTATCACTATCTGACAGTTACCTCTCCTATCACTACCTGACAGTTACCTCTCCTATCACTACCTGACAGTTACCTCTCGTATCACTACCTGACACATACCTCTCCTATCACTACCTGACAGTTACCTCTCCTATCACTAGTTGACAGTTACCTCTCCTATCACTACCTGACAGTTACCTCTCCTATCACTACCTGACAGTTACCTCTCCTATCACTACCTGACAGTTACCTCTCCTATCACTACCTGACAGTTACCTCTCCTATCACTACCTGACAGTTACCTCTCCTATCACTACCTGACAGTTACCTCTCCTATCACTACCTGACAGTTACCTCTCCTATCACTATCTGACAGTTACCTCTCCTATCACTAGCTGACAGTTACCTCTCCTATCACTACCTGACAGTTACCTCTCCTATCACTACCTGACAGTTACCTCTTACCTCTCCTATCACTACCTGACAGTTACCTCTCCTATCACTACCTGACAGTTACCTCTCCTATCACTACCTGACAGTTACCTCTCCTATCACTACCTGACAGTTACCTCTCCTATCACTACCTGACATTTACCTCTCCTATCACTATCTGACAGTTACCTCTCCTATCACTAGCTAACAGTTACCTCTCCTATCACTACCTGACAGTTACCTCTCCTATCACTACCTGACAGTTACCTCTCCTATCACTACCTGACAGTTACCTCTCCTATCACTACCTGACAGTTACCTCTCCTATCACTACCTGACAGTTACCTCTCCTATCACTACCTGACAGTTACCTCTCCTATCACTACCTGACAGTTACCTCTCCTATCACTACCTGACAGTTACCTCTCCTATCACTACCTGACAGTTACCTCTCCTATCACTACCTGACAGTTACCTCTCCTATCACTACCTGACAGTTACCTCTCCTATCACTACCTGACAGTTACCTCTCCTATCACTACCTGACAGTTACCTCTCCTATCACTAGCTGACAGTTACCTCTCCTATCACTACCTGACAGTTACCTCTCCTATCACTACCTGACAGTTACCTCTCCTATCACTAGCTGACAGTTACCTCTCCTATCACTAGCTGTCAGTTATTAGGAGTAAAGTTATCTCGTTATTACATTTTACAAATATTTGCGTGACAAAATCTTACAGTACCTTTAGTTGTTTACATTTTACTATCTCTCACGACTGTGCATATCCTTTTCATTAAACCCTAAAACGGAACGAAAAATTACAACACATATTTTACTGCTAGAATATCGAGATAATAACATGTGACAAAATGAAATTAATCGTCCTAAAAACTAACTTTATATCAAATGTTCTGCTGATTTTGAGAGGGCATGTGCTTTTGTTCATACTTTGTACATGTATGCCAAATTACTTTTAAATGTACTTATAAGGAGAACTTTATATCAACTTCAGAGCTCAAGTTTATGTTCATACTCTTTACCAATCATCGCTCCTTATTTGGTCATTTAACTGACGTGATAACATTAAAGTAAGCTTAACATAAAACTTAAGTTATATCTATATTGGTCCTATTAACAGCCAGGGTCATTAAGGGACGTGTCAGGTTTGGGTGGTGGAGGAAAGTAAGAGTTTCTGGAGAGAAAACCACCAGTATCTGGCGAGCGCCCCATGTAGGTCTCGAATCTGCAACCAAGAGGTGGAGAGTAAGTGTTATAGACGGTCAAACGTCTTAAACAATCGGCCACTGCGTTCCCTTTAAATGATTTAAGTCGTGATAACGAAATATCGTAACTAGTAATAACGAGATAACTAAAGTCGTGAAAACAAAATATCGTAACTAGTGATAACATGAAAACTTAAGTCGTGAAAAGGTCCAGAATCCAGACAAGTTACTCTCTTTTGACGCGACATTGGGACTTTCACGTGCGGTTAAGAGTTATAAATGGCACGCGAAGGATTAATGATTTGCATAAATGAACATGTAGTGAAAATCAGGGATATTATCTCCCCTGCTTGTCACAACTGATGCAAGGTGACGTGGACACCGCGAGATTTCGCGGAACGCCTGGGAGAGTATAGCGCGAACCCGCACGACAGCACTCTTAACTACTGTAGCATATCGACGCGTATCCAAACCGTGAGTAAATCTCCTTGTTTCTCTTAGTAGATGGGAGCTGGACGCGACCTAGAGGGTCTTGTGTGAACAAACACACAGGAATTCTGTACAGTGTGTATGTTATCCTTTATTTCCCAGTCTTTTTAAAATGGATACCTCAGAGACCAAAATATCTATCATATCAGAAAACAACAATCGTGCTCATTGCAAACATACCACTTTAAACTGTGTTCTCTTTCCTGTGTTGTATGTCTT